ATAATAATAATAATAATAATAATAATAATGAAAAGACACATTTTGTATATTTAATTATTATTATACGTTTTTTAACTTTCTCTTTTCATTATAAGCCGTCGTAAAATCGCAACGTAATTAAGTCTGCATTTATTGATTTTATCGTATCTGTCTCATCAAAATGCAGGACCCGAACATCAGCGTATTTAGCGTAGAAATATAATCAGCTATTCGCAGCTGTTCAAAGTTAAATTACAGATACAAGTGTTTTATGTAAGAGGAAGGAAATTATACTATCGCCTGGTTAATATTTCATCAAGATCAAGAAATTCAAGAAATCTTGTCTTGGTTTTATTTTGAATCAAGACAAGGCTAAAACAAGAAATTGGAAATTGATTTTAAGATAAAACAAGAAATTGTTATCAAGATCAAGATTTCTTGATTATAAGAAATTTTTTGAAATTTCTTGAATTTCCGTGATAGTTTTTTTATTTTTAATATTTTATTTTATTTCTGATTTTAAAAATTTTGAATAAGTTAGGTTTCAAAATCCAGTTGTATTTATTGGTATTTAATAGATTACATAATATAGAAATATATTGTATATTCATATATTTTCACTAAATAATATATGAGCAGAGTAAATCGATTATTGAAAAAGTGAAGAAGTGAATCTCTAATCTAACCAAATTAAATCATACTCATCGATACATCCTTGTTGTATCAGATATTAACCTTTATATTTATGTAAAGAAATATATATAAAATCAATATTGTGAGATTACTGGCAAAAGTATATTATGTATATTATTATATGTATACAACAATAACAAGTATATTATGTATTTGCGTACTTCTATTAAAAGTATCAATTAAATCAGGAATGAATATATAGTAATTATAATAAAAAAAAATTAAAATATATAGTAATTATAATAATGATAATAAATATAATAATAATTATTATTATTATATCTAATAATCTCAGGAATCTAATAATCTGAAATAGTTACATTTGGTAGTAACCTCATGATATTAAAAATGATAATTTGAGAAATATTTTTAATCTTTATTAATAGATTTATGCATAATAAACATTATAAGTTTTTAAATCATGAATTTAAACATAATAAACTATGAGACAATTCGGCATTCAATTTGTTCTTATGTTTTCTTATTATCTCTTATGACGAGACGTCAAAGAACCACAAAAGCCCTTAAAAAATCAAGAAATTTCAAGAAATTCAAGATTTTTGAATTCAAAATAAGAAGTACAATGTCAAGAAATGGTTAAAACAAGAAAAACGAAATTATTTATTTTGAAATTCAAGACAAGACAAGAAATGCTCTTCAAGATACGAAGATACTTATCTTGATGAAACACTACACCTGGTTTGATTTTTAATCTAGCCTGAGTATAATTAATTATATTAATTATCGATCGTGTTACCACTAATTCTTGTGATTCTTACGCAGCGTACAAATTATAGCAGCGTCAAATTATATCGTACAATGACAAAATATTTTCTTATCTCATTGTTATTTTTATCTCTAACGAACATTTTTCTTATTAGTCATATTATAGGATAATGCGCATACTGTAAAAAACATGTTCTCATTGCAATTGTAACAAATTAATAAAGTTAATAAAGAATGATAGGAGTCGCAAATGTAAAGATTATTGTAAATTATTAAACAATATATCGAGTACAGTAAAAAAAATAGATTAGCCATACATTTTGATTCCAATTTGAGTTATCATCAGCAGGAATTAATAATAAAAATATAGTAAACGATATGAAACCATTGCAAAAACTATCTCTATCCTTCTCATGTATAATTAAGTATTTTGTTGTGATCTGTAAAGAAATATTGTGTTTATATATGTACTTATCACAGAGACGTTTGCTGAGGAATCCGAAGTAATTGTCAGTGGCCAGTCCGCGAATTACCAAGTTTCCTTGAGATTGTATGGTGATCACATTATGGCGATTCTATCATCGCCTTGACTAAGATCATCACTGCCGTTCACTACGTAGATGGCTTGGACTTGGAAGACGTTATTTATTTTATAGCAACTTTAAAAATACAATTGGCATCATTTATAGCACTGATAGACAACTTCACTTTAAAGACTGTTGTCATGCATCCGGAATTTTCTGATAACGAGGAAGATGCTTGGAAAAATGATATTGCTGTAATTATGATAAATCGGTGCAAGATAGTTCGCTACTAAGATTTTCTTCTGCAATTTTAAGAGCTTCATTTTATAATTTTTTCCTAATTTTTTCTAATACTTTCTTTTGATTTCTTCTTTGTTCCTTTATATTTAAAATTTAAACTTTAAATCATTTTATTCATTTCAGCTCGAATAGTCGATTCAATATAATCAGTTCTAAAAATCGATTTCTCTGGCTAAGTTTAAGCCTTTTCTCGGACAGAAATGTATTTTATCCGAATGGACCGCTTTCGCACGTTCAAAAAATGAACTAGGTCACAAAGAGTGCATGTCATTATAATGTGACCGACAGCCACTTGTGTATACTTAATCGCTATGGAATTGGCACTTGTAAATAATGTTTATTGATATATAGGAATAATTTCTCTACTTTAATAGAAAAGATTGATTTATCAATTGTAAAGACTCGGTAATTAAATAAGAAGTTAACGAAAACAGTTGTCCTCTTTTCCAGAATGACAGCAACGCTTATAGCAACGCTTATATGCAACGGCGCATAGTATTGTTTTCTAGAGTCTTTCCCGCGCTCAAGGTAAGCCTGTTGTCTACTTCCACTCGACTTTATCAATAATGCCTAAGAAGACGTGTAAATGCAATTCACAAGACATAGATCTATTTAATTTTATTGTGCCAACATGCTGAAAGTATATGTTGCTGCGAAATTATATATAACGATGTGTTAACCGCTTTTCTCCAAAAGAAAAGAAATTTTTGTATTTATAAATAAATAAATGTATTTATAAATAAATAAATAAGTGCTGTAATATTAAATTGGAATTGTTAATTTTTAATTAAACTTCTTATTTTTTAATAGATATAATTATATATGCGAGTTATTATTTACTTTTAACACTCTTTTATATACTACAAAAAAATAATTAAATTTTTTGTTTATATAATCAGTAATAATTTTTTTATTCATTCTAAATAGATAATAAAAAGCTACAATATAACTACGCTTTGATAGAAATTAAGACATATCACAATGTCGAATGTTAAATAGTACAATATTTATTACCATGATAACAGATTGAGCAATGACTTACTAATAATGAATAATAATTTTGTTAACCCTGGAATTATGTATTATACGCAGCTTAATAAATTATATCAGCAAATATTGATAATAAAAATAGAATGTTTAATTAAGGCTTTTGTCATATTTACCTTAGATTATTACCAATTTTTTGGATTATTACCAATTTAATGGCTTAATACTTTTAATACAATAAATCGCAACATACCATAGCAATATTCAAAAATTTAAAAAACGAATATAATAGTATTCTGTGATTATCTCATTGTTAGTTTAATCCAAAAACTTTTTGAATTTTTTTCTGAGAACAGTAAATAATAAAAGAATACTACCGTTAGAGATACTCTAAATAGAGATCTTCATCTTTAGAGATCTTCTAAGATATTCTAAAGATTCTGGTTTACGTTTTAAAAGGATTTTATAATGTATTAAAAACGTATTTCTTATATATAAAAGAATTTTTAAAATATAATACAAACTAAAAAAAGCAATATAAATTAAATCTTATCATCATATTCTCATTGTTCGATAGTTTTAAAACAACTTAAGATAAATTTAATATAAATTATAATCTTAAGAATGGTATAAACTATGGATGCTGGTAATTAAAAATCTGATATTAACTTGAATATATGCGTCATATGTTAAAACATATTTTAATTGCAATTATCTTAAAAATTAGACGATCAATATGTTTCTAATTGCACACAAACATAGAGATCATTTTAATTTATTTGTATTTAAAATTTCAGTACATTCGAAAGAAAATCATTTCATGCTAGTACTACCTTAATATTTTTATTTGATCTGCAATTATATTTTATATAACAAACTGAAAATTATAGATATGACAATTAAATTTACAATTTGTAGTTTTAGTATAAATTATTTTTCACAAAAGTTCTAAAAGTTAGACAAAAAACATGCAAAGTAGAAATCAAATTTTTAATTCTTTATTGCATGGTAAGGTGAACTTTTAGAACGTATCCAATAAAATGGCGTCGATTCGATGTTCATTTTTTCTAATTAATGTATTGTATAAAATGAATGAAAGAAATAAATAGAAAGAAATAAATAGAAGAATTTATTTACATTTCAAGATATACAAGCCAAGAAGAGGACTTGGTTTATAGAAATATTGGATTGTCCGGAAAATTCGTGCCGATTTTGAAGGAAAATTAAAACGCAGAAGATTTAAATTTTAGTATACATTTATTAGTATACATTTATTTAAATCTTTTGCGGCACGAACTTTCCAGACAATCCAATACTTAACTCATTCACACTTACACTCCTCTCCCATCTTTATCTTGCAACTACAAACCTAAACCATTACAATACATTCTCTTTTACCTATATCTATACATAATCTCTGTATCACAGCCCTATCACAGTCGTTAGTGTCCCTAACTCATTTTGAAAGAAATAAATAGTAATAGTATAAAACTTTATCCTCTGTTTATTTATAGATAAAATTTATAAATAAAAATACAATTTTATACGAAGATTATGCATTTCGCGGATTTCTTTTGTGTCCAGATCCATTCTTGGAATACCAACGTTTCGTACACCTTGCAGTTCACTTCATCAGGGCGAGGAGCAACCTGATACTGTTTTATACGTTTTATACTTTATAAATTTATACTTTAAATTAAACAAAAAATGCTTCGACTAGTGGAATCATTTTTATCCCGACCTTATCAATGGAGGATTAAAAAATAATAAGGGAAGCATGTTTGAATTAATTAATATTCTTCATAGTAAAAATTATATCTTTTTTTTTAAGAAACATATTTATTTACTTAACTGTCAAACATAAATATATTATTTGTTATCAATAATATCTTTTAATTAATTAACTTGTATATCAAACAATGAAATTTTCTGTTATGTTATGCTTGGATGATCAGATCTACAATATAATATCTAATAATAGTAATAAAGACATACGTTTCATATGTTTAATCATGTTATTACGTTTCATTCTTTCTTATTCAACTCATACTGCGTAATTATGCGTATTTAATATGCAATATTTAATCTCATGTCTGCTTCATCAAAGTGCAAAATCATCTCATCGTTTACCCTAAGAAAGACCAGCTGTTTGCCAAGGTCAATTTATAGATATGAATCTGCTATAAAAAGTGGAAATTGTCCTCATTTCCAGTTTTACTTTTCATCTAACTTAAATTATCAATCATGCTACCATCCATTTTCTTGGTAATTGGCGTTCTTGCGCAGCGTAAGTAAAGACATACGTATTATGTATATATTGAATAGTGATAAAATATTCTCTCGTTATTTTTGTCTTCGATGCACATTTTTCTTATTAATTTTTAGTCATATACAAATCATTGTGTATTTTGCAAGAAATGCATATTTATTATATACCGTCAATTTGTAGAGACGTTCGCTGAAGAACCCGAAGCGATCGTCGGTGGTCAGACCGCCATACCAGGTGAATTCCCGCACCAAGTTTCCCTGAAATATAACGGCAATCACGTTTGTGGCGGCTCCATCATCGCTCCGAATAAGATTCTGACTGCTGCACATTGTGTAACATTTACAAAACCACCCTACAAAGACTTTAAAGTTGCCACTGGGTCTGTCTCAATCACTGCAGGAGATCTCCATAACGTGGAGAAAATTATCGTACATCCACAATATTCTGATAAATACGAAGATGGTTGGAAAAATGACATCGCTGTGATTAAGGCAAGTTGAACGCAAAATAATTTGTAAAATAATTTTACAAACTGCGATTTGTAAAATTATTTGCTTCTATAATTTTGAGTGCTCCACTTTATCATTTCTTTTTTTGATTTTTTTCTAATACCTTTCTTTTGTTTATTCACTTTTTTCCTTTCCTTTATCGTTGAAAATTTAAACTTTCAATTATTTGTTTTATTCGTTTCAGCTCGCATCGCCGATTCAATATAATAGATTCCAAAGATCGATCCCTCTCGCCAAGTTTAAACCTTTCCCCGGACAGATATGTACTTTATCAGGATGGGGTAGGATACGCACGAACGGACCGCTCCCGAGCATACTTCAAAAGATGGTTCAAATTGTGATCTCACAAAGCCAATGTCAGAAAATGCACTCTGATGTCCCCTTGACCGCCTCTCACTTATGCATGCTCAATCGTTCGGGAATTGGTGCTTGCCAGGTAAATAAGTAGCATTAATGGATAACATAAAGATATATAATTTCTCTAGTTTAATAAAGATTGATTTACCAATTATTGAGAAAAAAAGATAATAAATAAGTTAATTAAAACGTTTGTCTGTCTTTCAGGGTGACAGTGGTGGCCCGCTTATCAGTGACGGCGTACAAATTGGTATTACCTCCTGGGTTGCTCCTTGTGCTAAGGGTTATCCTGATGTCTACACTGATGTCTACTATCATCGCACTTTTATTAATAACGCCTAAGAAAATGCATAAAAGTAATTTATAAGACATAAACTTATATATAAAGATCAATTTATGTTATATGTCAATTGGTACTAATTGACGCATTGAAAAAATTTGTTACTGCGATGTCGAAATTACATGTAATGCGTGGACTATGTTTTTGTATTTTAATATTAATAAATAAGTGTTATGATTAAACATTAAATTTCTTTGGAGTAACACTTAATCAATGTGTGAATCTTCATAGATTTTTTTAAAACAGACTGTTTGTAATTATTGTTAAAGTCTTTTTCAAATTATTATAAATTCCAAAGAAATTAAGTAAAATAGTGTAATAGGAGTCAGGCAGTATTGCTGCGCAAAACAAACAATGTGGATATAACACATGAATGATTATCCGTTGGAATTCATTTTTGATAATATTAATAACCGTTTGAAAAACATTATTAAGTTTAAAAGTAAGAAATCAGACAGCAATAACGCCAAAATCATAAGACTTTCATGATTTACTGTTTCTTACGTTCCTACTGTTTTTGAAAAATTTAATAGATTAAACAACGATGATATTAAGATATCGTTTTACCATATAGTGTTAACAAATTACAAGAATTCATTAAGATGCATAAAGATCCGCTCTTGCATAATATGAAATCGAATGTCGTATATAAGATTTATTGTAAAGTTGCGATGTTACGAGACAGACGGGAAGACAGTTCCCTGATGAAAATGTAAAGTTTATCGAAGCGTCCAAAAAATGCCCAGCAAACGAGAATGAATTGAAATGGATTAAAATGGATTCAAATTTTCAGAAATATGGATTCATGTTAAAATGAATCCTTTTCAATCTTGAATGCACTTTTATTCATTTATAGGAATGGCAATGGAGTATATTTTTATGCTTTTCAATTTAAAAATAATATTATAGTATTTTGTGTGAATACTGCTTAATTAAAAATTTTGAATAGGAAATGTAATTTTTCAATCCAATTGAATCTAAAAATAATATCGGCCCTTTGTGTGCATTGTAAATACTGCTTAATTAAAAATTTTGAATAAGACATGCAGCTTTTTTAGCTAAATCTAAAAATATTGGGTATGGGAAAAAGTTCGTGGCGATTTTTTAGTAAAATTAAAGTATTTTTCTTAGTATTGAAATCAATTTATTTAAACCAAATATGCTCCATTATTTTCTATAATATTTTTTTGCCATTTTTGGGGCAAAGCCATAATTCCATCGCGATAGAACTTCTATGGTTTCTGATCGAAAAAACTGCTTCAAGTGATTTTCACAGATCTCTTTTGAAGTTAGCTTTACACTATTAAGAGAGTTCTGCAGAGACCTAAACAAATGATAGTCTGAGGGTGCTATGTCAGGACTATACAGTGGATGCATTAAAACTTCCCAGCCAAGCTCTCGCAATTTTTGCCGAGTCATCAAAGATGTGTGTGGTCGAACATTGTCGTGATGGAAGATGACATCTCTCCTATTGATTAATTCTGGCCGCTTCCTCTCAATTGCTTGTTGTAATCTCTGCAGTTGTTCACAGAGTTCGGAATTAATTATTTGATTGGACGATAACAGCTCATAGTGAACGATTCCCTTTCAGTCCCACCACACACACAACACCTTCTTCCTCGTCAATTCAGATTTTGCGATTGCTTGCGCTTTCTCTTCTTTCTTTATCCACGATCTTTTTCTAGTTGGATTATCGCAGGTGATCCATTTTTCATCACCAGTTATTATTCTCTTCAGAAATGGCTCAATTTCATTCCGTTTCAGTAGCGTATCACAAATGTTAATTCGGTCCATCATGTTTCTAACACTCAACTCGTGAAGAACCCAAACATCTTCTTTTTGTATCCAGCTTTGTGTAAATGATTTAAAACTATTTTGTGGTCGATGCCTAGTTCCCTGGCAATCTCCACAGTGCTCACATGCTTATCACGCTCGACTTTTACCATGATTTCATCGGATTTTTCAGTGATTGGTCGACCGGAGCGAGATTCATTTTTCACATAAAAATTTCCAGCACGAAAGCGAGCGAATCATTTCCGTGCTGCTGATTTTGATAGAGTATCTTCACTGTAAATAGCGCAAATTTTTTCACAAGCCTGTGCAGCATTCTTGCCGTAGTGATACTGCAAAATGTAGCGAATTTTTTCCTTATTTATTTCCATTTTCAAAATAAAATAACTTTTGATCCATTTCACCGATTTCAATCTTTTTCGGCTCAAAACAAAGGTTAAAATATCACTTTTTAAACGCACGTCTTGTATTGCCGATGCGATTAGTAGTAGTTACTGACTGCTGAGCATTTAATGCCTAAATCTAGCGGGAAAAACGCCACGAACTTTTTCCCACACCCAATAATACTAGCTATTTCTGTGCATTGTGAATACTGTTAAATTCAAAATTCTGAATAGGAAATGCAATTTTTTTAATCCAATTGAATAAAAAAAAGTTTTTCTTTTAATGGTTCATTTTCTTAAAATGGGCCGTGAATACTATTCAAAATGAGTAGAAAATCCATTACTTCATTTAAAAATACATCGGAATCTGCATATAGAATCGATTCCCTGTTCTACAATAGAGTCGTAAACAGTAAGCCGTAAGAAATTAACCAAATACATATCGATTATTTTTCTTACACTTAACTGTAATTGGTCAATTTTTTACAGCTAACCACTCTATTGTAGAACAGGCATAAAGTAGAAAGAATAAGGAATTAGGAATAAGGAAAAACGATACCTTATCAGAAACCGTGTATTCCGATGTATCCGATTTCTGATAGATTGAAATCTTTATTCTTTATTCCTAATCCCTTATTCCTTTTATTGTGGCTGCACCTTAAGTGTTACGACAATTCTTGTGCTCAAACTCTATCTCTTCTATGTATGCGATTACATGTAGTGTATTATTATTGAATATGAACACAACGCGAAGGAATAGCGATAGCGATAGGAATAACACAATTATGAATAACACGAACCTATCAGAAATCAAATATACTAGAATATACATTTTCTGATAAGTTGAAATCGTATTATTTCTATTGTGATCGCTATTCCATACATTGTGTTTAAGGCTTTATTTTAACGCTGCCATGTAAAGGCACCTTTAAAGTTTGAGAGCGTTTATATTGATCATGTGAATTTTTACCAATCAAACGTTATCGACATTGTATTTTACTGTCTATCGATCAATTAAACGCTATCAGCATGTCATTGTCTACTGCGCATCCTTTGGACTGCTTCATTCAAAAGAGTAAAAAGAAACAGGAAGGAATGTATCAATAGTGGAGATAATTAAATCCGCGGATATATACCAGCTATCTTAAGTGTCCACTTTTTATGCTAGTATATATAGTCACTTCCGCTTACTTAGAATAAAACATTCCCTTTTGTTTCTCTTTACTGTTTGGCTTTGTTTTATTTTTCTGATTCCATCACGTCTTAATTCCACGAAACGCTCGTCCGGAAGATAACAGGGGATCGATTGTGGATTTTGAAAGGAGGTGAAAATTACAAAAGTGAGCAAAGATTACTAGATATTGACCAATTAAATTACTCTGATGAATTTTGTAGTTTTTACCTCATTTGAAAATACACAGGGTGCTTTTCATTTGATGACATAAGTTGACATGGAAACACAACGGAAAGCACCTACAATCGACTCCCAGAACTATATCGATCAAACATCGAATCGCGTGATGCAAGAGTTCAAGTTGTAAGTCAACTGTTGAAAAAATACAAGTACAATTTTTAATATTTCGGGTTAAATACATTCTATATCATGCAACATTCCGGTAAATCAACGATTTAATTGTTTTGAAAAGTCCAAATTATATTGTCACATATTATATTACTTTGTAAATAAATATTTTATTGATATCACATTATCGTAGACATTTTCAGTGAAGAATCAGAATGTGAGGTTCAAGATGTCCCTTCTACAAATCATTCGGAGAAAGAAATTGAATTTAATTTAATTTACGATAGAAAATTGTGTTCCCCGATACTTGGTTATAATTTTCAACTTCCTGATTTATCAACAAGTTGCATACCATCCACAACCTTAGATACATCTCTGTTGCATGTAAGATTCAACGATGCATATATTCGCTGCAAGAATTAGATGAAATATTCTAATTTTATTCCAATGATTTTGGTTTTGTTTTATATCTTACATCTTCTATTTTCAGATTCCCATTTATGCCCATTTAAAAATATATGATCTGAAGCCTGTATGCCTACCAGAGCCATCATCGATTTTATCATCATTTATCATGCAATTGCAATTTTCGTGAGTATTTTTCCCTGCATATCTTTCCAAATTTTAATTATTATGCTTTATTTTTAGAGAAGATACCATACTCAGTAAATCTTCGAGAGAAATATCATTGACAGCACGATTAAGCGAGAAAGACGATATATCAGCTTTGTGCAGCGCTCAAAAATAAAAATTAATATAAAAATTAATAAAGTATAAAAATGAATGCTAAACAAAGAATAGAAATGTAGGCTTAGGTATCAGTATAAGCGAAAATATATTCCGATATAAAGAAGTACACATTTGTATCTTTGATTTATTTTTCTTTCGCGGATGACTTGTAATTTATTATATGAATATGATTTTTGCTATAGAAGACTTATATATTGGAAACTTATACTCGTATTCATAGTGAGGCCCTATATTTTAGGCTTCCTTAAATTTATCTTTAGATACTCTACGAATTATTTCATTGGCTGCTGAGCATCTAAAGGTAACTGACTATGAAAGGTAATTGACGAGTACATTAGATTTGTTCGCACTTTTTGCACTCAGCATCTTCATTTTCTCTCTCTTCAAAGCCAAATATACATCTATCATTTTACGTACAAAAATATTTGGATTTTATGCACTGCGAATAGATCTTGTCTATTTTTCAAGGCTGGATATCAATCATGATATCAATGCGTTCAGCAGAATAACAGTTTTGCAACCGTTTTATGATTTTCTGCTGATAGGATCTGAGATAGGACCATTCCTCTTGATCTAAAAGCATAACCCAATCAGCGTGAAGAAAACTTCCAACAGTTGCAAAATAAATGTAGCCATTCATGAAACTTTATCCTTAGAATGAAAAATGAAAATTTGAATTATTGAAATTAATGGAGAAATTTTTCACTTTTTCTTTTCATCCTAGGAAAAAAGTTTCATGGTTGATACCCTGGAGATGCTAAATCGATATTTAGTTCATACAGAGAGAAGGTTTCTCTTTGGTTCATATAATCATGTAAGGCTATGTTATTTACTTAGAACGTTAAACAAAAATGACATGACACCCGGAGGATGTTCAGATTCCCATCTAGGTACTCCCCAGGTGTCATGTCATTCTTGTGTAACATATGATAAACAACAAGGATGGAGTGATACCTGGGTGACACTCGAATAGATATCCGAACATGAGCTAGCATGGATATTCTTACATCGTGGACGTCCGTATTCCCTCTCCAGTAGTATAAGTTCTATGACTTTACTACTGTTACTAGCAGCTTGATGTGTTAGGTTAGGTTATAATGCTCTCGATGGAATAATCTCTTTTTTTCTTTTCTATATTGACATCGGCTTGTCATCGTCAGCTCGGACGAGACGAGCGCGATAGTAATTAACAATGCGACAATGAGGAGATTCAACGAGTTTCTCGCGATCTGCGTCGTGTTGCAGTGCTTTTATGGTGTATGCACCACACATTTGCTCATAAACGTCAAAAATCAGGTAGACGAATACAGTTTCTTGTATATCTATTATGTATCAACTTTGCTGCATACATAATTTATAATTTGTAAAAGAATTAAACTACTAATTATAAATATATTTCTAGAAGTTAACCTCATATATGACTTTAAACTTGTATCGAATATTCTTTTTTTATGTCAGTAAATAATTAAAATTTAAAAAATAAGTTTTCATGTTAACACAGCCCTAAAAAAAATGTTTCTTTACAGGGTGGTGATATTCTTCTAGAAACAATCTCGTCTAATGTTACAGAAGATTTGATTACTCTCGAATTCCAGCGTTCCGATGGCACACTAGTCACACAACTTATTGATTTCAAAAATGTAATTACTTTATAAAAGAAAAATATCCAAAAGGATGAATTTTTCGTAATTTATTTCAATAAATAATATTCTTACAGGAAGTTCAAGTTATAAAAGCTTTGGTACTCGGTGAAGAGGAACGTGGACAAAATCAATATCAAGTCATGTGCTTTGTAAATCATTTTTATAAAGTGGATTTTATATCATCTGATGCAATGTCCAAACTACGTCAAAAGAATCCAGGTACCGTACGAGTAGCTGAGGAGGACAGAGGTCATGTCAATTACACAATGGACTTGTTTCTGGACGTTTCTCAATCCAAGGAAATCTCAAAGCATGTTACCATACTTTGTGCAGAAGCAGCTGGATCAACTTATACCAGGAATGATGATATAAAGCAGTGGATTCAAAGACCAGGCAAATATTTGGAAAATAAGTGTGATTATGTCACATATGTTTTATATATTATAATAATATTAGTCATTTTGCCATGATTGATAGGTTCCTCGGAAGAGTTATTAATGGCAGCTATATATAATTTTACAAATGTGCCGCAATCAGGTATGAACGATACAAGATCATTATTGGTCTCTAAATGTGCTGACACATCAAATCTCTGGGCACCTTGTACGTGTTCCCTCGAATTGTGCATTGGTTGGTATCCGTGTGGTTTAAAATTTTGCAAAGGAAAGTCTGATGGCAAAAAAGTAGCAAGCACTTATCGATGTGGCATAAAAACATGTAAGAAATGTTTTATATTCTCATATTATTCTAAAATGAAACAGAACTGTCTATGGGATGAATGACATATAAGGACACTATAGATTGAAAATTTCAATTTATTATAAGCAGTATCATAAAAAAAAAATGAAGAAAGCTCGAAACAAATTGAATATCTCAGAAAAATTTCTAAGGCCCGTATATAGTCGTGTTTTTGCTGAGAAACTCAGCTGAAACTAATCTTGAGTCATGGAACAGTTCAATAAACGAATCTTAAGGGTCAATTTGTAATTGCGATTCAAGTGAGGAACTCAAATGAATTTATCTCGAAATATTTATAAGATTCAATAATCGAGTCTTGAAGCAAGATCTCGTAATAATCTCGAAATTTGTATCCTCTAATTTTTTGAGTCGAGAAAACTTTCGTATCACATATTTTCGTAAGTGTGGTTCAGAGAAAAAAACATTATATAATATTTATATTAGAGTACATTATAATCTACATATATGTATATATATGTATTATATATAATATGTTAATTTGATTTCTAATCAAGACATGACTGAAACATCTCAGACTTTATTCTGAGTATCTCATCTGATACTCGCTCTTGAGATTCAAGAAACGACTATAAATACGGGTCTAATTGTTTTAGATAATTAAAATTTAAAACAAAATTTTCACAAAAAAGAACAAATTCAACCTTCTAATACTTTTTTATTAACTTTTTAAGTATATATAGATAATTTGTATGCTTTATAGTAAGTATAAACTAAAAATTTTTATTTATTAATAATTCTCTTTTATAAATGAATTTAAATATAACATTTTCTTGTTTTATAATATTTTATTCTATTATATCATAATTAAAGCCAAAGCAAATCAAGCAAAAGTATTTTTGCAAGATTCTATATTAGATTATACTGCATTTATACTGCAGATCTTTCAAATACTTTATAACATAACAAGTTTATACTTTAAAAGGGTTTATGTTAAGGGATTAACAAAAAAATTTTATTTCCTTTTTATCTAAAACCGTTAAACATTAAAAATTTCATTTATTGTTTTTTTAGAAGATCTTATCAAATGATTAATATACATATTCATGTAGACTTTACTGAGTGGATATTTGTAACATTTATAATTTTTAAATCCAATTTACATCAGACTTTTATTTCCATACATTCCAAGATTTGTAATAAAATATTTTGATATTGGGTTGTCCGGAAAGTTCGTGCCGATTTTGAAGGAAAATTGAAACGCAGAAGATTTAAATTTTAGTATACATTTATTAAATTTAAATCTTTTGCGGCACGAATTTTTCGGACAACCCAATATTTTATTAAAAATTGTATTCTTAATTCTACTTTTGTAGAATTAGTTTTGCAACAAGAAATGTTAAAAAACGCAAAACTGTTACATACAGATAAAAAATACATAGATTTCATGTGATCATGTGACATTATTTCCTGTGATCAACAATCATATGTTCCAAGTTATTATTTGCAGATACTTTTACTTCCATTGAATTTATCTAACATTCCTAACCGTTATGTTATTTACATCTAAAACAAAATCATTCCAATTATATACCCAGTAATTTTTGTATTACCTATTTATATTACATTTGATATTTTTTTGTACTGTGGATACATGTTACAAATAATCCATTCAGAACACAAAAATATTCTACTTCATTTCTCGAACATTTCAGAAACATCAGGATAATTTGTACGTAGAAAATTTTATACGTGATTTATAAAGCTGCCATTTATATACATTGTGTGTGTGTGTGTGTGTGTGTGTGTGTGTGCGCGCGCGCGTGCATTATGTGTTATAATTGTACATAATGCAGATTCATATATGCAGAGACAACACAAATAATAATAGACATCGACGAGATAGACATATAAATTCGTGTTAATAGCCGAAAATTGTACAGTTTATGTAAGATTTGCAGTATTGTGCAAGACTTTATAAAAATATTATCACAATTTATACTGATATGTTAAGTATCTGCAATTTGTAATGAATGTCTTTGCACGTTTCAATGAAAGAATATACGTAGCGGATCATTATGAATAAGACTGCAAAATCTGTCCATTTAACGCGTGCGCGTATAATGGTTAAGTCATTGCTCTCTGAAATCCTTCACACATACATTATATTTACAATATAAGAGAGATTAGCGAAGCGAGGAAATATATATATATATATATATATATATAT